TTGCTCGTCATGTGGCATTAAATAAGGAGAAGGAAAACCGTGTTTGTTGACAGAGAGGACACACAACATGCGTGTTTTTTGTGGACGTAGAAAACCCACACACACACACGCAGGGAGAGACAGTTCAACTCCATACAAGAACAGCAGGGATCATACTAGTGACCTTCTTCTGTAAGGCCACATCACTAACCACTGCACCACCATGTGGCCCGGTCAGATTGGTTCAATTCAAAGATTCATGTTAAAGGTTCATGACGTGGGGACCGTTCATAAAGTATCCACATGTTGAGAACCAACTTCGGGAAAGTTGTCCAACCCTCAGGTCTGAGGAGGCGAGGACGGACAGTGAGGACGGACAGTGGAGGACGGACAGTGGAGGAACTCCACACCACTGCCTCAGTAAAACACACTCACACGCCCTGGGCCCAGAACAGGCCGACACACACAGGAGGCCGTGCTCCTCTCAGCACCCAGAGAGAGCGTCTCCCAGGCAGACGAGTTCACACTGACACCTCCACCTCCTGCTGCCAGAGTGGGAGAGAGAGAGAGAGAGACAGAGAGAGAGGGAGAGAGAGAGAGAGAGAGGGGAGAGGGAGACCACCTCCAGGGAGGAGAGCCGAGCGAGCGGGACACAGCACACTGTGGACTGCGGCCATGTTTTGCTGTGGAAAAAAAAAAATGAAGAAGAGAAATGGAAAGTGGGGGAAATGATATGCATAATTTACGCTTTTTCTCCTTTTTAAGACAGAGCTCCTTTTTTTTAAAAAAAAAAAAAAAGGCTCCAATATAACACCGCTCTGGGCAAATGAAATACACGTATTGCATTTTTTAATACCATACTTACAATTTCTCAAACAGCCTTAACCAGTTTATACTTCTTTTATAGATTTTTAAATGACTTGCAATATAATTAATTGGCCGCATCAACTAACACAACATTTTCCCACTCTGTTTACCAGTGAGACTGGTTATGGGATGTGAGCACATCTGACTAACAGGGTCTGAAATGAGTTTTTATTGTTGGTGGTTTTTATTCGGCGGCTGCTCTGATGCTGAGCTGAGAGGAGACCAAGTCCTCGTCGGACAAAACGCCACGAGAAACAGGAGCCGCGGCTCCCAGGTTTCCTGAAGGCAACGCCGTCCTTTGTCCGACTGTACATCACCTCTGTGTGTGTGTGTGTGTTGTTGACGTTGTGCAGTCGTGTTGTCTGGCTCCTTGTTGTCTCACGTCGGCCCCTCCAACACACAAAAGTCTACTGTACAGGAGCAGACACACACACACACACACACACTTCCATGAGTCGTAGATGAGGACGCACAGATGAGATTTTTTTTTTTTTAAGTAAGGAGAGATTTTTCTAAACAACTTCCTCAGTCTCTTTGTTACACGACGGTATGAGAAGGTTATGAAAATAAATCCTCGTCTTAGTCGTCAGACAATGGGCCTCTGATCTGATTTCAGTCCTGGACCCCGACCCTGGGGAGGGAACAATGGCACACAGACACACCCTGACCACGGAGGGAAGACGAGGACGGGGCGAAGAGTTTAGGACACAACAGGCTTTTTATAAATACATGGTGATGACAGAGAGATGAGAGATATTTTTAAATACTTGGAGTTTAGTTTGTAAATATTTTCTGCTTTGTATTTCTTCAACAACACTTTACGTTAGGGCTGTGGTCACAGTACCTGTTGGATGTTCTAGTACTACCTGTAAGCAGTACTACAAGTGTATTACAAGAATATTTCCTCCCCAGTTTTTCTCAGGTACTACAGTGTTATAAAGGAAACCAAAATTTAAACCAAAAGTCGATTTAAACTTCATTGGTTTTCAGTATAAAAGGCAGTTTTTCCTGCTGTGTAATATTTACTAAATAACTAAAAAATACAGATAATAAAATTTTAAACTTTCTAAATTCCTAACAGGATGTAGTATTGTTGGTCATATTCAGGTGATCATTGTTTGTTTAACATTTATCCAGGTTTTTGTGCCGATTTGTTTTAGTTCAATCAACAATAGTTCAGTTGATCTCTGATACAACAACAGGGAGTATTAACGAGTCAACAATAGTTCAGTTGATCTCTGATATAACTAATACTAATTAGTATTAATGAGTATTAACAATATATTGTCGTCAGAACGTAGTTGTTGGTCAAAGTACTCTGTCGTTCCGGGGACCCTGACCCTTCAGTTGAGACCCTGAATACTTTGCCCTTCATGCGGCGCATCCAAACGTGTGAGAGAGGGAATAAACAAGTCCACCTTGGCAAGTGACGCTCCATGAAGTCATGCACGGAACTGAGGGGGAATAATACGAACCACCTGTGCTGTGATGTAGATCCAGCCCAGAGAAGAGAGGAGAACAGCAGAGGCACTTAACAGAGGAAAAACATTTAGCCAGGCACACACACACACACACACACACCAACACACACACACACAGAGTCCCAGAGCTGGTCTGCCAGGTCGGTTGCTTCATACATCACGATGATGAAGCACTGGGATCAGAACAGAGCCAATCCGTCCTTCATCAATGTGACGGCAGACTAAGTCGTAGAGAAGGGCTCTCCGTCCCTCTGCTGCCCAGGCGGGCCACGCAACATGTCGCAACAGTCTCTTACACAAGGAGCTGTCACTCCATCAATCCTGCACCGGGGGAGAGCGAGAGAGAGAGAGAGAGAGAGAGAGAGAGTCTCATCAGAGCAGACGAGGCCACTCTGTCACCTCACAGAGAGACCTGGAGATCCCTGTTTAACACCCCTAGTGGGAACATGCAGTACTGCAGACTCACTCCAAGACAAAGTGCTGCAGAAACTAATTTTCAATCGTTCCATTTGTGCGTTCTTCCAAAAAAAAAGTTAAAAAAAATAAAATAAATAAGCTAAAATAAAAACAGTTGGCAGATGGTTTGGAGGATTACGACAGGATCTGGACCTTCATGTCTGATTTCCACCAGATGCTGCAGATAAGACGGTGATCTCTGCGTCACATCCAGCCAACAGTGAACATGGTTAAACAAAGGCGATCGACCCCCCCCCCATGTATTCAGTGCTGGTTGAACAGCAGAGTGAGACTGATGTTGTGACCTCTCACCTCTAGTCACTGAGGTCATGTGGTGTCTGGTTTGTTTGAGTGTAAAAATCGCAGGTTGTTCTTCGTATACGGACGAGAAACGATCCAACGTCCAACTGGTGGAAAACGTTCATGGATTCAATCTGGTTGTTTTTTAAATCTTTTAATCAATCCGACCAAACTGTTCTGGACGACGAAAAGTTGGTCTCAAAGTTTAAAGGAAAGGAATCACTAATGAGAAATAATTACATGGAAATAATCATGGGTGGGATTAGAGCCGCTCTCGTGCCGCTAACAGTTCGTCACAGTTTGTAAAAAAAAAAAAAAACCCAGATAAATCTGCTCCAGTACAACAAGAGTCGGACGCTGGAAAACCCGTGGTCGCGGCTCCGCGGTCCTGCAGTGACTCAACCGCACGTGTTTCACCGGCTCAAATCAGAGATTTAAATGCGCGCGGCTACATCTTCGTTGTGTTGTTTATCGTTTATCCCCTCGTTGGAAATACTCTCCGCGTCTAAACTGAAGGTGAACTTCGTCTCACAGTCACTACTGTATCCCTGAGTGGGGTTAGCACCACCATGTGGAATAACATCCCACGGTCCTGCGCTGGTGATGCAGAGCGTCTTCAGTCGATCTGTATTGATCAGGCCCGTCTCCTCTGTGACTAAATTCACTGCCGAACATGACAGATTCCCACATGCCTTAAAAGACGACGAGGAAAAAACTGCAACGTGATGCAATGATCAAAGAAGGCCATGTAATATCATTTCCATAACCGTCGGGCTCCACTGTCGTATGCTGTGGATTTGGGGGGGGGCGGGGGGGGGGGGGGGTGTAATGTGCAAGCAGGTCCTTAATTAGCCGTCCCCCACCATCAGCTGTCTGCCGTCCCTTTGGCCGTGCAACTTTCAGAGCTGGAGGACGAGGCTGTCGACGTGTTTTTGTTTGTCAGACGCTGCATTGTTTCTCTGTGTGGAAGTCGCTGGGATTTATTTACCCAGCTGTGTGCTGGGGGGGGGGGAGCGGGGCCCCCCCCCCACTTTACTCCTCCAATGGGGCCCTCACTCCTGTAATTAGAGAGGTCATCCTCGGCCAAGTGTTTGTGTGTCAGTGGGATCTGTGGCGGCGGCGGCGGCGGCAGGCGAGGCCCCGAGCCAGAGCTTTCTTTTTCAGAGCGGGGACACAGACCCACCGTTTCACACACGCACATACCCCATCACGTGAAAAAAAAAAAAAAACATCGCACGAAGATCACGGCCAGTGTGTGCGCAGGAACACGTCTGCGTTTCGATGCCCCAGACTTTTTCCCCAGCTCCTCACCCGGTTGATTTTTTCTTCTTTTTTTTTTTCGTTCTCATTCTCCACACGTCTGGAAGCGCTCTGCTTCACTAACAGAGCTCACTTCTCCTCTAACCCTAACACTCATTACTCAAATTAGGGGCTGCAGTAATCACCAGGCCGAGCTCCACTCCAGCCCCTGAACGCACCGCTCCCACACCCCCCCTCCCTCCCCCCACATCCCTTCCAGCTCGTGCCCTCAGTTCAACGGCCGATCCAGTACGAGCAGCATGAATATTGCAGCGGCGGCGTGTGATTGGAGGAGGGGAAAGGTCAATGACGGACGGCGTGTGTGTGTGTGTGTGTGTGTGTGTGTGTGTGTGTGAGTGTGTGTGTGGGCGCTAATGAAGACAAGAACCGATGGAGACGTACTGTGTCAAAGCCCTGGTACTGCAGTTCTTTCAGTAATAAAATCAAACTAAAAACAGGAAGAAACAGAACAAAACTGTGCTGAGAACAGACAGAAGTCGTGGAACATTTACAGACTCAGAGAAAAGAAAGAAAAAAAACAAAAAAACAAAACCAAACAAACAAACAGGAGCTTCAACACTTCACACAACCATGAGGCAAACATGACAGAGTGGGGCAGAGGGGTATTTATACCCAGGGCAGCAGGTGAGGTGAGTCAGACTAATGAAGAGAGAAACACAGGTGAGTGTGGTGAAGCTAATTACCCTGGGAGAGGCAGACAGAAGGGCAGGGGCAACTACAGACAGAGTGGGATCACTGCTGCTGCTGCTGCTGCTGTTACTGCTGCTGCTGCTGTTGATGTAAATAATGATGTGTGTTTGTATAATCTATTATTAGTATAAACTTGTTAAATATAATTATGATATAAAAACAATTACACACAAATGTTCATGTAAAATAAAATAAGCTTTTTTTTGTTGACTTTAGTTTAAAGATGGATGAACGGACAGTACCAGAAACGTTTACATGAGCCACAGTTTTGTTCACTGATAAATCAAATGTTACCACGAGAGACTTTTTAACATCAGAGCTGTGGATCCTGTAGAACATCGTTTCCCAAAGACTGGGTCGCGACCCTCAGGTGGGTCGCAAGAGTTGTTTTTTTGGGTCGTCTCGATCACGTTCCCCACGAATCTACGAACAATGTCTATTGACTTGGGTCGTGAAGGTTTGTGACTTTTAAAAAAAAAAGTAGCAGCAGAGTCACTATAATGAGGTAAAAAACAAGCTAACATACGTTAATGCTAATCCACATGGCTAACCGTATTTGTTAGGGTTCAGAGGTCAGAGGTCCAGTGATTCACCGCCGTCTTCTTCTCACCTTCCCGCAGGTTCTGGAGCGTCTTTTCCAGAAAGGCTTCAGCGTGGCGGCGTCATGCGGAGGTGGCGTGGACTCGTCCCAGTTCAGCGAGTACGTGTTGTGTCGCGAGGACCGGCGGAGTCTGTCCATGAACACGCCCATCAGGATAAAACAGGAACCTCTGGACTAGAGCATCCTGGGAGCGAGGGACTGACAACCACTCACCAGACCACCACTTACTGCTCCCCCCGGCCCCCCGCCCCAGCCCCTCTTTGCCCCAACTGGACCACAAACTGCCCCAGCACATTCAAGTACAGAACTATAACGGGGTGAAGCAGAAACAAAGGGAAGAAAAAAAACAAACAAACAAAACATCAGCAGCAAAAAAAAAAAAAACTGTGAGGAAATCAAGAACGGAACTCACAGGTTATCTGAGCCGTGACGGGTTGATGATTAGAAAAGCTGTGTCCTTACCCTTTCAGAAGGGGGCAAACACACAAATACAAATACCCCCCCCCCCCCGACCCCTCTGTAACAGTTTAATTAGGAGTTTATCAGCTCCACGTTTTTGCCTGATTGTTGACGACGGTGACCACCTGCTGTGGGACGAGGAGACTTTTGCCAGAAATGACACGTTTTGATGAATCTTCCCAAAAAGTGGTCGTGACCCTGTGACCCTCCCCCCGTCATCCCACCTCACCCCTCCTCCCCCTCGAGGCCCGGCTCCGGGAGGCTGAGCCTGAGCCAAAACCTGCGAGCGTTTCTTTTCTGTTTATTACAGTTACTCATTGTTATTTCTGAAGTGTTGCCGTTTGAATCATGACATGGTGTAAACAATTTTTAATTATAGGATTATTTTTAATGTCTCTCTTTTTTTTTCTCCCCCCTTTTTTTCTCTCCAATATGAAGGATGTAGGAACGTTGCATTCATTAGGCTTTGAGAAAGCTTGTGAGGCAGCGTTTCTTGGCAGTGGCTGCAGAGACTCCCGTGTCTCCAGGCTATGTGGCTAAAGCGATCTGGCTGGCAATGCATTCAGAGCCGCAGAAAAAAAAGAAAAAAATCCCATTGTTCAAATGGGGATAAAAGAGAACCTGGATATTTGGACATTGTTTATAGTCAACGTGCAGCACACATAAAAAGGCTGCTCTGGATTTTCGTGCCCTGAAACATATCTGGGGTCTCTGGTCAGATTTTTTTTATTTCACAGACACTGGAGGCACAATTGTTTTGACTTTTTTTCTTTTTTTTTTAAACCCTTACTTAAAACACAGGTGAACGTTGCACCAGCTCCAGTTTTCCTGCAGTTGTGTTGGTATAGAATGTTAAAGACTTTAGGACCGGGATGAGAACCTATGAGGAGCTCTACTCTAAACACCGACTGCTTTCTTTTTTCTTTTTCTTTTTTTTTGCACTTAAAACACAGACTTGCGGAGCTGCCCTGTCCGTTATCCCTTCAACCAGTTCGCAGTCGCGTTCTCCGACTTCTCGCGCCGCAGAGTTGGTCGATAAAACTTTAATCAGGAGGACGAGGTGTTGTCTCTGTGGACGGTACGAAAGAAGAAGAAAGAAAACTTTTACTGACCACAGCTGTACATAGGTCAGTTATAGCGCCCCCTCACATCCACAGTTTATTCAACAATCGGTATTCATTCCTAATTCTTAATTTCTAAGATCCCCACTGTGACACTTTGACAAATTTGAAACTATCATCCAATTGGCTCGTGACGCCCCCGGCTTTAAAGGCTTCATGACACACTAATGGGGCCCGCCCCTCAGTTTGGAGCTACTTTCTCCTTTGGTCTTTGCTCAGGCCAATAATTATCCCAGATGTTCCTCAGAGTCGAGAACCCCAAATGAACCGCACTCCCCGCATCTGCGCGTTTGTCACAGAGAGACAAGTGGGCGGAGTTTATTTTCAACATCTCTGGATCAAAGACAGGCAGAAGAAAGGCAGCGTTTGGTGTTTGTGCGTGACTCAGAAGCTCGTTCTGATCGGTGTAGGCTCCGACTGTAGTCGGGTGTTCCTGTCCGTCAGACGTTGGTCACTAACAGACAGCTGTTCAGGTGTCGCCCGCGTTCCTCTCACAACGACCTCACAGCGACGCCCATCTTTTTTTCTGACCTGCCTTTGTACAGAAACATCTCAAAGAGAATGGTCAACCAGGCCTTTCATGTGCTGAGGCACGTTGGGTTCTCCACCACCGCCACCACC